AAATGGGAAATTTTCCATCTTCACTATATCGTACGATTCACTATACAGTAGGTTCACTATATCGAGCGCCGACTGTACTCTAATTCTAATACTAATACATTTTCTGAAAAAAAATTTATAGGGATAATGAATTGATTATCTTCATAGAACATCCAGCAAGCTCCCTCATTTATGATGTAACTTCCATGAAGAATAGATAGAACAAATGGTATACGTGGAAGATAGATTATTATTTTGCTATTGAATTCCTTCAACTCGTCTAGTTGATAGCAACATTTTGGAAAACTTTGTTTTTAATGCTTCTAATACCACTTACCTTGCTTGAGAATTCATTGGTAAAGAATTAAAAACAATATCTATCTATTATTTACATTAATTATTTTCCGTTATGAAAATTATTATTTCTATTTATTTTAATTGCATGTTTTTTACGAAATCGAATGTAGGACAATATATTCATACATCACGAATGATCATCAATTCCACCATGCTCTTGTGTCACTTGATGGATCGTGAAGACATCAAGTACATCTTCATCACTCATTATTATTATCCTATCTACATATTATGCACATAAAATCAAATATTAATAAGAACAAGTTAGATTTACAAAGAAGTGGAAACAGTATGTGCCTGAGTTGGTGAACGTTCTTATTCAATTAATTAATGATTGCCACCACAGTAATGAATAATGAACCTTTCAAAAACGAAAGTGAGAAGGCATGAAAATGATATTATGGATTAAAAGGCTTGATGAAATAACAACAGAACATGTTATGATGTTCATAAAAAGTTTGGGCCGTGGAAAGTAGAATCATAACATTATGTTGACTGCCCAAGAAGGATGAACTAACGAGGATGTGAAGGCTTTAAAAAAATATATTTTTGGATTATTAGAGAAGACGATAATTTCAAGAGTTTTCATTGAGCGGATATAACAATTCCTAGGAACCATGGCCAATTTAAAAAATGAAGTTCAAATGTCAAAAGAGGAAAAAGAAGAATCCAAGATTCATTTAGATTTTATTGAAAAAGTGAGAGAATTGGGCAAAGAAAGATTAGATACAAGAACCAATAATAAAGTATTGAAAAAAAAAAAAAAAACAAGAATTACAAATACCAAGAACTTATTAACTACAAAATTATTTTAAAGCAACTAAACGATGAAAGGATCAAGAGAAGACAGCAAAAAAATTTACAATCAAGTATAAATCAGGAAAGTGAACTTGAATTGCTAAACAACAAAGCATGCTTAGGCTAAATACAAAACTGAGCAAACAAAATCTGAACCAAAAGAAGAATAGGCTTAGCATAAATTTATATCTTGCACCAATTAATTGTTCTTTTTATATTAATAGAAAAGTGTAGTTGTGTGGCGTTGAGCAAATTTTGACTATTTGAAAAGTTGTCACGCTAGCTTTTTAATTTATTCCCAAAAAAAACTTAAAGTTTATTTTTAATGGTATTACAAGTATGTACCAGATATAATAATAATAATAATAATCGGAGATTGTTTATAATCTATTTTTGGAGAATTTCGAAGCTACTTTTTTATCCCATAAATAAATATATCCGATGTCCATGTATGTACGAGAGAGCATGTTACTTTTATCTGTCATCCTTTTTTTTTAATTTATTTGTCAAAAAATTTTTTTTTAAAAAAATAAATAATAATATAATTTATAGAAGAATTAATAGAAACAATAGAAAAGGATGAGTAATCAAATATCAGAATATAAATCTTTTATTTTAATAGAAAAATTTCAAAATTATATTGACGAAAATGAAGAAAAGAAGAAACAAACTATTAAAAATGTAAATATATTAAGAAACTTTTTTACCATTCATTCATTCATTCATTCATATATCATCAATTCATCAATTCATTTCTCAGGTTAAAGCGATTTTAGAGATTAAGGTAATGAATGTTGAAGGTAGAGAACAAATTTGGACTTTGGACCTTAAGAACGAAGGAACTATTAAGACCGGAAAAGGTTCTACGAAGCCAGATATTACCATCAGTTTGTCGGACGATACATTTGTAGACTTGTTTTCAGGGAAATTGAATGGTTAGTAGTATATTATTATAAATATATTATTTTTCTTTTTCACTAATAATAACAATTACAAATTAAAAATTTAGGACAAAAAGCCATCATGGCTGGCAAACTCGATATTAAAGGTTATAATATTTCTAAATTATATAAAATATTAAACGTTACTTCCGGAGCGAAACTTTACTTCAAGAAAAGTAAAATCGAATCATGATTTTGCCAGGGGGTTAATAGAACAATAACAATAAATAATTTTTGTACATATTCATCAAAATTATATCATCCTTTGATCCCTTCTTTCTTATTCTAATACCATCAAATAAGCATCTCTCTCAGGCTGATAATAATCTTTAACCAATTCTTTAATTTTGAAACCAAATTTTTCATATAATTTAATTGCAACTTGTCTTTTAACATCAACATATAGTTCAGCTTTACTTTTTTCAGGAACTTTATTGGTGTCAATCGCATGTTTTAATATCATTGTTCCTAATCCTTGTCCTCTGTAATCCTGGTGAATGCATATTTTTAGAATACGTGTCAATGGTAATAATGAGTTATTACTAGCCAAATATGAGTAAATTATATATCCATAAATTTTAATTTTAATTTCTTGGTTTTTTTGTGCATTCTTTTCAACCTCTCTGTTGCTACTACTACTACTATTGTTATTATTATTAGTTGTTGATTTAAATTTGCTCTCGTCGTAATGATTATGATGATAAATAATCAATAATTTATTTGTCTTTTTGCCAATCTCTTGAGAAATCGACATAACTTCATGTTTCGGAAAAGTTTTACGTTCTATCGATTCAATCTGTTGAATTATTGATTCATGATGTTTGGCAAATGTTTTTTGTGGGAATAAGGAAATTTTTAAATTTTGTTGCGTCGTCATTTAATAATAATAATAATAATGATAATGATGGTTTTTTATGTTTGTAGGACCCCATATTTAATAAATGAGGATCAAAGTTAACAGTTATACCTCGTTACAACGAATTTACTAGTCACGCGCTATAACGGATCTATGCAAAATTTAAAATTTCGTTACAACACGCATTCGTTACCAACAATTAATTAATATATTCAATCTTTCAAGTTTATTAAATTCCATATTCAACAATGGGCTTATTGACTTTAAGAGATACTATTGCATTTTCTCTTCTCCTAAACCAACTCAATCACATAGTATCTTTTCGAAAAAAAAATTTTTCATTTTTATAGAAGATTGCTTGTAGAAATTGCATTTTCATTTCACACCCATCATTGTTAAATTTATCAAAAATTTCATATTTAATATTAAGATCTTTACACATATATTCCACTACCTGATTCCATTCACTCACTCCACAACATCTTCTGGTGGATTGACATTATATACTCTTTCAGACATCTATTTGTATAATGTCTGTATTATTCCCCAGCTACAAAATTTACATCATTAGTAATAGTTTGATTTTGACAATGCTTCCAAAAGTTCTGAAAGGTTCCTAATAGTTTGGGATTCTCTTCAAGATATTTCTTACGCCTTCCTTTTTGATTTCCATGAATATTCATCATCCTTCTTCCCAACATTCTAGAAATCAGTTACAAATCCAAATAATGAATAAACAAATAAAATGTTTATGCCAATTTTTTACTAACCCAAAACACCTCTAACATGCGCATATCCTTTTATTCTCAATAGTCCAATCCTGTCTGACCCTAAAGAAACAAGATTCAAGGTTAATTGTTAAAAAATCAATGTTAAGCAATTCCAAGCAAAACTTCCCATATGCTCAAATTGTTATGAATGAAATGATAATGACATTATTGTTATTGATGAAATGAATAAATGAAGAATGAATGAAACAAGATAGTTGAGATCAATTTTGGGATGTCATTCTTTAAATATCTCTAAATCTTTTGCGATTATTTCTTTTCTCATAATTTTATGTTCCAGGTAACGAAACTTCTTAAACAATGCCATCTTTTCGGGAACTATGAAAGATCTAAAAACATTATTAATATCCCCTCATCTTGAGGAACATTTTTTCGATATATAAAAACATTTGCTTAATACTGAGAAAAAGCTTTTATTTGCCATAGAGAAAAGGGATTTGTTAGCTATAGGGAAAAAATCTTTTTCGGTGTATGGTAAATTGGGAATTAGAGAATACTTTTTATGTTATACAAAAACGTCAAAAGATTTTAGAGGGAATTGTTTGCGAAACTTTATTATTATTAAATTCGAGATTCTCACATGTTAATTAATATTAATTAATTGCTTTTGCTACTTTTAATTAGGCCAACCTCTCTGGTTCATCCAAAGAAGGCACTCTGCTCATACTATGTATACTTGGCCAGGCACAAACGTATTTTCATTGATGTTGAAAGTTGCATGAGATAATGTCAATCTTTGGGTTTTGTGAACAAAGGTATTTCATCATCAGGAAATTTTTTCTGATGTGGATTTGCATAATTATTGTACTGTTTATGTAAGTTTACAGTGGGCCCTATAATTTCATGCAAAAATTACATTCAGTGTAAATATTACATAATTTTTTATGCAAATATTACAACATTGCATATTAAAAACTTATGAATGTAATATTATGGTGGAAAAAATTTCCTGATGATTCTGCAGAATATTTGCTCAGTAAACTTGTTGGTGATAATAACGGATTATACAGCAGGTCATATTGGATTTATTAGATGTATATTTCAAGGAATTGATAATTATTTCTCATATAGAATCACAATATATAAAACTACTACTGATTCACAAATAATGGGATATCTAAAATCATCAGAATTTATTGAACAAATCAGATTACACTGAGGAGTTGCACCATTATACAAATTTACCAAAGAACAAGATGAGATAATTGACAGGTTGTTGCTAAAAGATGAAATACATGTGCCACCTTCAGGTCCTAATGATGTGTTGACATCATTGCTTAAAACTGAGTGATATCCTATCTGGATTATGAAGGTCCTGAGCTCAGGTTGAGAGAGGGCAGGGTTGGCAAATGTATGGTCCATTGGTGGTCTATTGGTGATCCATTGGTTCCATTAGTGTAACATTTTAGCCATATTTAGTAATTTATTAATGGCAATGGACCAGCCAATTTGTCAACCTGAGAGAGGGTAAAGTTGGGTTTATCTCACCTGTCAGCAAATTATTGTCATTCTTTCGAAGGTGTGCCTCAACAAAAGAACCATTGAAAGATGGCTTTAGTTTAGATGAGTTGATCAAGGAAGCATTGTTTAGATAAATTTTCAAAGCATTAACAAATAATCTTGATTGCTCAAAAGATGGCAAAAGGGTTACTGGAAGAGTATGGCAAATGGAACTCTATAGAGCAATCTATAGCTGCCTTCCTGATGGAATATACCTATCACCAGATGTTGGGCACATATTTTCAGTAGATGAATTTGTTGATTTTACATTACAGAGCTTCAATGGGCAATTGAATTGCTCATTGATGGGAATGACTTGAAAGGACACCATGTATACATTTATATTTTATCTAGGAGGGAGATATTCACTAATATCAATAAAATCTTAGACTTCCGAGAAACTACAAAAATACAGAAAACATATCCCAACACATGGCATATCTTGCCTACCAGCAATTTTGAAATCCCAGTTCATAAAATTTATCCTAGTCTTCTTGCAACTAAAAATTCATCAAAAATAATTAAACAAGAGTGTCAAGCATTAAAATATGTGATGTCATTTGTGGTAATAGTAATGAAAACAATGGTGTTAATAATAACAATAATAATCATGAAATGATCAGTGAAATTGAGAAGAAACAAAATCATAAAGAGATGATTGAAATTTGGGGATATTGATTAACTTTTTAAAAATCAGGAAAAATATTTAAGAGACATTGATTCAAATAATGAAGCAGATAATATCCAGAAACAGAGAAAAAGGGCAGCAAATGATCTATTGTGTATTTTATATGAGAAATTGCACAGGGATTTAAAATCAGTGGTGATTTGTCCTCAGAAGATTATTATCATAGTATCATTGATTAATGGTAATCAATAAGATAAACTATGGATTCTCTAGATCAATATCTGTATATATATTTTATTGTTTGTTGTATTATAATCATTATACTGTACATATATCAAATAGCTGATAGTAGGCAACTGATGTCACCATAGCAGTAGTAGTAGAATAAGTGATTTGTGCATCTTGATGTATGTGCACAATTAAACATGATATTCTTGAAATAGCATGAAAAAATACTCTATTATTATGAAGAATTTATTGTTAATATTAATTTTTAGCACCATTAGTAGCAATTTAGCATCATCGTATTTTAGTATTAAATTAGCATTGAATTTTCTCAAATTCCAATGTTAGGTTGTTAACATTAAATAATTATTATATTCACATTGTTTTTTCTATCAGTATTTCATTTGGAATGTGTATCAGTAAAGATACTGTTAAAAGGGATGTATGTAGACATTTTTTTATAATAATGGTATATATAATAAAAAGATATTGATTTACATTATTTAACCCAAATACCTGGATTTGCATCTATCAATGCTTTTTTAGTAAAATTCATACATGTGAGCGAAATATCTGTATTTCGAAAATAATTTCGAAAATTAGGATCTTGGAATTTCGAATTTAACCAATTAAAATTTCCAAGATTCGAAATACAATATCAAAATCAAAATTCAAAATCTAATCAAAATTCAAAATCTAAATCAAAATTCAAAATCCAATTCGAAATTCGAAATCCAATTCGAAATTCAATTGTGTCACAGATTTTCATATCTATATTTTAAATCTCATTCATTCTAAAATAAAATTCTTAAATAAAAATTAAGATATGACAAGTAATTTTGATTCTCGAGGTCTTTATTTTCCAAATTCTAAGAATGCTGGAAGACCTCCTAATATTGTTTGGACACATTTTAATAAAGGTATCCTGGCAAGTACGATTCCACATGTATATATTGTAATGACAATGGAACAAAAGGAAGTCCACAGCTAATGCAAGAACATTTAGCAAATAGATGTCCAAATGTACCTGTTGATGTAAAACAAGTTTTTCTTGAAATTATTTTACGCAAACACCAAGATGATAATTTTTTTGATGCAACAGATTCATTAACAACTTCAAATTCTTCAAATTCTTCAAACATTCTTGGAACAAGAAGTTTGTCTAACAATATTCAAGATAGAAAGAAAAGAAAAAATAATAATCAAAAAGAGTTGAATAATTTTTATGATACAACAAACATCACATCTCAAAAACAAAAAATAATTGATCAAGCATTGACAAGAATGTTTGTTTGCTGTGGGTTACCTTTTTCTTTAGTAGAAAACCCCTTTTTTATCAAATTTGTTAATCAATTAAAACCTGCATACAAATTACCTTCTAGATTTAAGTTGTCTAAAGATTTTATTAATGAAGAAGTAGCAAATGTGAACGTAAAAGTTGAATTGGAATTAAAACGACAAAATAACATTACTTTAGGTAAAGGAAATCATTAATATTACTTATTAATCTATTGGATTTTTTATTTTGAGAATTGTGTAATTGATATTGTTTAAATTATGATTTTCTTTTATATTTAGCAATGGATGGATGGACAGATCCAGCTGGAATATCTATATATAACTATGTAGCATTGACTTCAAATGGCAAAGAGTATTTGTTAAAGTTAATGGATTATTCTCAATTTTCTCATACAGCTGATTTTTTGGCAAATGAAATAGAACAAACATTGGTTTTAAATAATATTGAAAGATTTTCTGGTGTAGTCACAGATGGAGCTGGAAATGTCAGAGTGGCAAGAGAAATTATCAATAGAAAATACCCAAATATCTTAAATTTGAGATGCATCACGCATTCTATAAATTTAATAACCAAAGATATT